AGTTGCACCAAACATTCAGTAACTAACATTAGAACTAAGCAAGCAATTCCCTCTGAGTGTGATCTGCACAAAAGTACACTCTTTTTTCTGCCTATATACTGTCCTGGGAAGGTGTGGTTTTCATAAAAGTGTAATTTGGAGTTATTTTAGTGAGCAGCTCTTTGTCCAAGGGTTCCCACTGGGCCCATCCAGGGAGGTGTCGACTCAACACCCCTCGAAGCTGCCACAGTCAACGAAATGCCCAAATCCGCGGGGTCTTCTTCTGTCACAGCTACCCAAGTGACCTCTGAGAATTTGGTCCCACAGTCACATTTCTCAGGGCCAAACTTGCTTGCTGTAAAATGTCACCCATCCTCATTAGAATTCCCAAACAACCCCCAGGAAATGCATCCGGCGATGTCGCTGAAGTCACAGTCACAGAGGGGTTGTGAGGACACCAAACTAAGCAACATTCTTCTTAGCCCTGGTGATTTTGCAGGGAATGAGCAGCTGAGCTCCTTTTTTAGCACTAATACTGAAATCTTCCTCCTTTTCACGTGTGAGTTAATGGCAGCAGGAGCCACAACCTTCATCAAGGCCCACAGACAGCCACAAAAAACAGAAGAGGAAACATTACTATAGCTGGTGGCTGCCCATCTGCCAAAATAACCTTGTAATTAGCTTATTAAAATTGTTTGAGACTGTCTACCCCGGGGGCTTCTTGCTGAATGGAATGTCTAAGAAGGATTTTCGGGAGGAATGTAAATCTATTCTCTTTGTTTCATACGATGAAAGGGCTTGTTTTTACTGATCATCGTTTGACACTCCCGAGTGTTTAAATAGTCAGAAGAAAGTAAGTATTTTTAAAATCTCTTCCAAATTCTTAAAAAGAAAGATTTATGCTCATGGAAAATTTGCTTTATAACAACACGAAGTCCCTCCGGGATAAGTAGTCAGCAGGCTGAAGTTAAGGAGGAAGAGCTCTCCCCAGCCCAAATATCCCCTGGGCATTTAAGCAATCTTTACTCCACTGAGCAGTCATCATTTTTAGTGAATGTTTGCTCATTATTTCAATCAAATGATGGCAACTCCTGGAAGATCCACTTAGCTAATGAGTACTAATAAGAGAGTTACTGTGCAGAATTGTATCAGAGACTGGAATTTGTCAGTGACGTGCCTGGGGGATACCACAAGTGAGGGTTGCTGTGCCACCAGGCAGGCAGGGATGGCAGTGACTCAACTTCTTATTAAGTCTTATGCTTCAAGGGCATCTCCTTCTCTTCAAATCTGAAGCAAGTCACAGTCCACACACTCAATTTTCTTCTCCCTCACCACTGAGCACAGATAAACGTAAATGCATCTGGCCTCATAAATCCTTCCATTAAAATGCCCCCTGAGGCTACAAGAGAGGCCTAGGAGGCATATTTGGCTCGACTAGAGGAAGCAAATGTAATGTTACAGGTTACATGTGGCACAAGAGGGTGGTGTGGTAAAACTGGAAGGCAACAGCCACTTGCAGGACAGAAATGATGCTGAAAAGGCCCTTTCTCCTAGAGGAGTGATGAGCTAAGCCCCAAGCTCTCTGCCTAACATGTCAGAGAATTGACACATCAAATGCAGCATCAAATGTCTGCTCTGCACCTGGAAACCACCGTGGGCTCAGGCACTGCAGCTCTGGGGTGGTTTCCTGGAAGTCAGCTCACAGAAAGGGGAAAACATTATGCCAAGCTTTCCCTCACAGACAAGCAGGAAAGTCCCCACTGTGTCCCTAAGGCACACAGCTTTCACATGGCCTCTGCTGAAAAGTTCCCAGTCAGGACTTAGAAACCACATCCCAGACACCCTGGTTTGTTTTGCTCTGTTCTGAGCACCATGACTCAGCAGCTGGCTCTGCAGAAGTGCACCCAACAATCACAGCTGCACTCAGGTGATGTCCTAAAACAGATCACAGAATCACAGGATATTCTGAGTTGGAAGGGACCCACAAGGATCATCAGGTCCAACTCTTAAGTGAATGGCCCATATGGGGGTTGAACCCACAGCCTTGGACCTCAGGGAAGTGAAATCCTCCCTTATTTTACATACGTTTCACCTTGCAGTTTTAAGAACAATAATCTTAGGTTTAACTTCTTCCCCACTGCATCTCTTGACACATTGAACTGAGCATCTTCACAAAACATTTTCCTGACCTGCTATTTTGATTTCCAGAAAGAACCATTTCTGAACTTACTCAGCTCCCTACACTCAGGCCTAGAGCTGGTTGCCAGGGCTGGAGCTGTGGGACAAGTTTCCCCATCAAAATCTGGGTGTGATTCCCCCCCCGCCCAGAAACCACCAGAGCACCAGCAACGGCCCAGAAGGGATTGAGCCTTTCCCCCTTTTAGATTCCTGCGAAACCACACGAGATTTGGCACAGGTTGCAAGGAACATCAGTTGGGCTTTCTTAGGAACATCTCCCTAAAACAGGAGAGCAGGATGTTTGGAGCCGAGTTCCCAAAGATCCCGAGACAGGAGCGGCGGGAACAGCCGCTCTCCCCACAGCTACTCACGTGGTGAACGCGGGGTTGTACTTTGCACCAAGGTAGTAGGAGTAAAGGTTGAACATTCCGATCATGAAGGCGAGGAACACCATGATGAAGATGACCATGAACTTGAAGATATCCTTCACGGTCCTGCCCAGGGAGATCTGCAGGGGGCCGAAGCTTTCGTTGGCTGGAAGAATGTAAGCAATGCGGGAGAAGCTGAGTACCACAGCTATGGCATACAGGCCTTCTGAAATGATCTGGGGATCCGAGGGGAGCCACTTGTTCCTGGCTAAAACAATACATGGACACGGGGTGTTAGTAACAAAGAGTGGTAGGTGGAAGCTATCACCATAAATGACCCTTTTCTGCACCGAATCTTGGCTTTGGCCAGGATTTAAAGACAAAAAAACCCAGCTTTGGAACAATTGTGCACTGAAGTCCTCAGCATGTTGGAGAATTAGTGAGTTAGTTGCGTTTTTCACACAGTAAAGATGAGAAATGAACAAGTCACTGGGATTCACTGAAGCCACACAGCAAAAAAATAGCATGGCTTTAAACAAACTCGGTATTTTCTGTTTGTTGAATGTCAACTGTACTGTGCCTTTTCCACGTGAAGCTCTTGAGATGGACAACCAAAAGCACAACGCAGTGGAGTATGGCTATAGATTTTATACAGGGCTCTGTGTCAGTATTTGGGAAGGAAGCATTAGGGAGACTGAGATCTCTATCCCCACCACTGGATAAGAAAGTTAGGATTTGTTCAGGTAAAGCAGATATATATGTATATATATATAAATATGTATAAAATGTATAATAAAATACAGATAAAAACGTATAATTTTCATGTTATCTTTACATTAAAACCAGTTCTTGCAGTCTAGTCACTCTAATATTTTTACCTAAAAAAGCTCCTTGTTGATACCAGATATGCATCATTTACTTAATCTACTGAAAATTTGAACATTTATATTAATATGGCTTATGAGTGGCCTTGCATCAATTGAGCTTCTTGATGAAAAGACTGTGGCAGGGTTAAAACATGTGACATCTTTAGGACCACAGCAGTAAACTTAGGCATTATTTGCAGCAAAATCTGAACCAAAGGAAAAGCAGCAGACAGAAAAACTCACAGGATCTCATGGTGATATTCTGTTCTTTGCACCTTTGGGTCATGAACTCACTTTAAATGGATCGGCAGCAAACCAGAGAGGGAAAAACTCCATCATCTCCATGGCCTCTCTCTTGCCTGGGCAGAAGGAGGGATGTTTCCCTTCAGGGGGGACATACCAAGCAAGGGGCTGAGCTGGTGGGACCACCAGGCTGGGGGTGAGGGCTCATGTCCCCAGTGCTGTGTGGAGCACAGCGGATGAAGTCTGCTGCCTCAGATCCCCCTCTCCAGCACAAGCACATCACTGGAGCAACCACCTCACAACTCTAGGGAGCAAATGGTGTTCCTTGGTGCCCATCTCTGTGGCTCCTGTGAGCAAAAATCCTCCTGGGGTTTGCTCAGGGTGACAAGTAAAGCTTGCAGAGGGGTGCAATGGATCCAGTCCCCACGCTGTACAGCAAAGAAAAACCATTTCAGCCATCAAAACCAATGTTGTCCAGGCACTGCTGCTGCTTTAGCACTTACAGATGATTTAGGCTCTACAAAAATACAGGTTTTGAAGAGCAGCAGCTTATGGGTGTAATTGCTATTTTTATTTCCATTATACAGGTGTTGGATGTAACAGAAGCGCGGAGTGCACCGATAGTTAGAGATGCAGCCCCACATTCTATATTTATTCACACATTTCCCTCCTCTCACATTTGGAAAACCAAGCAGGTTACTTCATCTGTAATGCAAATTATACTCTGCTCCCTCCCAGTTCCTGACTATCTGCTGCTCAAGCTGCTTTTTCAGGATGTGATTGACCTGAATGTAGACTTGGGACAGTATCACAGACTGAGTGAGGCTCAGATCCTTTCTGACTGTTTAGGAAGATGGCTGGAATGGGTAGACTTGGGAAGAACAATTTGGTTTAATTAGAAAAAACCCACACAAATATCCCCCAAAGGAAACCTGCTTTCAGCACTGCCACACATTAACCTAAAAGAACGGGAAGTATTAGAGAACAAAAAGCACCTTACCATAGGTAAAATAAGCAACTTCTGGGGGAAGGGTGACGTTGTTGAGGTCATCGTCTTGAACATACTGGTCAACGTACTGTTGTGCTTCAGAGGCTTTGAGGAAAGCCATGAACCTGGCAGTGAATGATGCTACAAAGATGGACAGCATCCCAAAGTCCAGCAGGTTCCAGAGATGCACCACATATTCCCGTGGCCCCTCTTCCCAGATCTCCTTGCACTCTGACCAGATCATACCTGTGGAGGGGACAGGAGGTGTTTAACAGAAGGTGTGTGTATGTTCAGACACAGAAGGTGTGTTTGTGTTCAGACAGACCTCTTTCCTGGCCAACAGTGGCTTCTAAAACTGGAGCAAATAGCTCTTTAATTAAACTGAATTTCTTGACAATGGTTCACGCCACCTTTTCTTAAAAATTCTTTCAAAGTTTTAGTTCACATGTCCTTTTGTGCTTATGAGGCAGAAATTTCAAAATATCACTATATAAGTCAATGGCAAAGATGATTTCTGGTGATGACAGAAAGCACAGTTCAGAAATTCTGATGACACTAGAAAATCCTGTTGTTGCTACATTTGGGAAAAATGTGGATTTCCTCTCTTGTCCCCAAAATCTTCTTGCCAAACGGTGCCACTGAAGATGGCACTGCTTGCCCTGCTGCTGTTTTTCTCCTTCCCTGAAGTGGGTGGGTTCATTTTGAGAATGCAAACAGAGCTGTACAAGAGAAAAGATCCAGGATTAAGTTCAGTGTGATTAAAGAAAGGGTAAGACAGAAGTTCTGCCCTTGCAATACTTTTCATAAAGCTTTTGGAATTAAATATGATTTTCCATACATTAAACTCTGATCTACCACTTTAAACACTGAGTTTAGCCCGAATTTAGGATTTCTGACAACAGACTTACAGATAAACCTGTAAATGCCAAATTCAGTGAGTTCAAATGTTTTGACATCTATCTCCTATTGGGAAGTGCTAGGGCAGACAGGTGAATTCAGTGGGCAAGAATTCAGGGCAGATTCACTAATTTACCCAACCTTCAATCAAAACAGGGCTCCAGGGTCAAACCCTGTTCCTGAATAGATAAAGTGTTGGAATATTTAACCCACTGATAAATATTTCCTGCACTCTCCCCAGCCCTGTCTCCATAGCAGCAGCAAAATTCTCATTTAATCAAGAAGGAGCAGCGCCTGCTGATTTCCATGTGGCCTCCTGCAATCTTCTCCTTCTTGTGAACTCCTTTCATCCTCTCTGCTGGAAGCTGTCGTGGTGTGGCACAGAAATGCAATTGCTTGGCTACTTCTGAGACTCCTGGAGGCACAGGGTGTCCCAGGAGGGGCACTGGAAAGCTGGGTTACAGGCAGGGAAACAGGTCAGTGGGAATCCAGCCGGAGGGTGGAGGAGTGAAGAGCTGCTGCTGAAAGTCCCTGTGTGCAGGGAAGGATTGAAAGAGAGAAAGGAAAGCTGAGCTTTCCACACCCCCATCAGCCAAGGCACAGCCAACCTGTGACCTCCACAGCCCTGGAGTCTCCAGGTGGGTGCCTGGAGATGTGCCCTGATACAGGTTATGCCCTGTATAGATCTATCTTGGGAGAGAGCCTCAGAAACCAATTCTTCCACCCTCTTCCTTAGACTATTTATTATTAAACCTTATTCATGGTGAGTGGCAGTTTGGGATGAAGTTCCTACTGTTACTCAGTCAAGCAGCTGGGGACTCGAGGAGGGGAGCTGGGAGGCTCCTCTGCTGCCCTCCCTCTGCTCAGCACTCAGCAGATCTGCACAGGGAAGGAGTTAGAGAGAGAAAGGAAAGCAAAGATTTCCACACCCCCATCAGCCAAGGTACAGCCAGCCTGTGACCTCCACAGCCCTGGAATGTCCCTGGAGATGTGTCCTGACATAGGTTATGCCCTGTATAGATCTTTCTTGGGAGAGATCTGAGTGCTGAGCAGAGGGAGGGCAGCAGAGGAACCTCTGCCGGTGCTTGGCTGAGTAAAAGCAGGACCTTCATCCCAAATTGTCACTCAGCACGAGCAAGGTTTAATAATAAACAGCCTCAGGGAGCAGGTGGAAGAATTGGTTTCTCAGGAATTTTCCTGGAGTGAGGATGAAATATTAAAGGAACATTTCCAGCTTTAAAATGCTTTTTAAATTCCCTGGAATGATGGATAGGAGCCATTAGCCCTGCGTGTGACGCGTGTGTGTCGTGTAAAGGTACTAAAGCTCTCCAGGAAAAATCACGTGGTAGCATTGCCCAAAAAAGCACTCCTTCTCTGATGACCAGAAATGACTTTTCTGGTTGAAATATTAACTCTCCCATCCAAATTTATTTCTAATCTTGCTCACTTACTATACCTAAGTCACAGATTAATGGAGTAAGAAGTGTCTAAAACTGAGTGGACTGACTAAAATTAGAATCACTCAGTGAAAGTATCACACTATTGGCCTATAATTATTCTTTTTGCCAGCTGTGTGGCAATCATTTTTTAAAAATGTCTATTAAGGACAAGCAGAAAAGTTCCAGTAATTATTCAGTCAGTACTGCTGGATAATTGTATATACATTGGGAGACAATATTTCAAAGCTTCTCCTTAAGTAAAAGTACTGAGAAGAGAAAAAGCAGCTAAAATTCAGGAGATAGGACATAAGGTGGGATGCAAGAAATAAGGGAAGGCAAGTAGGTAAAGCAGCTCTGCCAGGATGTCTTTTAAATGTGGTGTTTCTGAGGCCCCCACAGGCTCTACCAGAGGTCATTTCCCTGAGTTGGATGCATGGAGATGTGGGATATGAGCAGCTCCTGCTCTCCAGCTCCTACATGTCTCTTATTCCCCCCACAGCAGGAATGATCAGAAATGTCACCTTGATGAGCAGGTCTGGTTTCAGCAGAGGAAGGAGAGTTAAGCTACAGGCACAGCCCATCTGGAAGAAAAATGGGAGTGTGCAAGAAGTGCTGCTCACCACCTGTGCACAGAGCAGCAGTTTGTCAGATTTTATATCCGCTGGTGTGGGACATAAATCAGGAGCAGCTGATGCTGCAGAGATGCCTTTGAGCCTTCCTACATCCACCAAAGGCTGTTGGATTAAGAGATTAATAGTGCTCAGACTGCATCTATCCAGAGTCCCTGGCTACCCTGGCTGCTTTTGCAGTGGGGATTTTGCCTCTTACAATAAAACCTCCCTGCTTTCAGCACACACTTTGTCCATACCACTCATCAGGAAAATCCCAGCCTTTCTCATCTGAAAGGAAGGGAAGACCTGGCCACAGGGGAGACACAGACAAGTCCCAGATACATGAGCCAGAATTGCTGTGCCCCATGTAAAAAGGGGGAAGCTGATCATGGTTAACATCACGAGAACCCCATGGGCCCACTTCTGGGGCTTGTCCAGGTCCCTCTGGATGGCATCCCATCCTTCAGGTGTGTCAACCTCACCACTCAGCTTGCTGTCAGCTGCAGACTTGCTGAGGGTGCACTAGATCCCTTTGTCAATGAAGATATTAAATCCCACTGGTCCCAGTATGGGCCCCTGAGGGACACCACTAGTCCCTGATGTCCATCAGGACTCTGAGCCATTGATCAGCACCCTCTGGATGTGACTGTCCAACCACTTTCTAATCCACCTAATAGTCCACTCATCAAATGCATCTCTGTCCAATTTAGAGAGAAGGATGTTGTGGGGGGCAGTGCCAAAGGCTTTACAGAAATCCAGTTAAATGACATCTGCAGCCCTTCCCTCGTCCCCTTACATAATCACTCCATCACAGAAGGCCACTAAGTCATCTATGTCAGCAACTTTTATTTAATTATATTTCTACTTACCTATAAATATTTATAATACCTATAAGCTTTTAGCACCAAAAGCCTGGGCAGTCACCACCCTTAGTGCTTTCACAGTTCTTAAAGTTCAAGGTCACACATGGGGCTCAACAAGTGCCTAAGTCCCTGTGCCAGCTTTGAGCCATCTGCACCAAACTTTCACCTCTAGGATTGCTGAACCATTGTTTGAAGCTTTCTGTAGGCAGGCAGGTAAAATGGCCAGAGCAGATTGTCAGTGCAGATGTAGGCAGTCATTAGAAAATCTCATTATACTCAGGAGTCTGGACAATGAATCACTTTTCTTCTCTCAGAAAAGTGAAAACCTTCGCTTCAAATGAAATGTTTTCTTCTTCATCTCTCAGGAACTCACCAAGCAGATGGATACCTACTGCCTATAAGGAAAGAATACCTAGTCTAAAATCTAATCATCTTGTCCAACTGCTTTAATATCATTTTAAAAATATATCTTACAGGCTTACTCTATCCAGTCTGGCATCTATTCAGTATTTTCTAGCCTAATATCCTGCATGGGATTCTGATTATTGCAGGGACAGGGAACAAAGAAACAGTGGCCAGGAAGTCATCAGATAGAGCAGGCCTATCCTATTTTTCAGGGGATTTAATGCCATCAGTACTTATGGAACAGTGGAATTATTTGCTGCAAGAAAAGAATCCGAATCATGGTGGTGAGCAAAAATAGATATAAAAGAGGTGGAGAAAGATTCGGCACAGTTGATAAGCTCAATTTCCCAATAAATCCTCCTGAGCTTGTTTAGATTAGTGGTTCAAGTTGACTGATCTGCCAGGAATAAATGAAGCCTGGAGGAAAAGTAATACATCTGGATCTGCCTAAAACTCCTTGGAAATTTAACCTGTGCCTGTGACATACTTTTTGCACTTGAAGGGTTCACCCACACGAATCCTTACTTTATAACTGTTGAATAACTTAATTTCTTTTAAAAGATTTGAGCTCTGTGCTGTCCTCTCACCAGCAAGAATTTCGCACTGGGGATGTCATAAAATCCAGGTCTTACTTACCTGGCAGTTTTCATCACTAGATCTCAGAGTGCATTGCAAAAAAAAAAGGCCAATAACATTATTTCCATTCTGCAGACAAAATAGCTGAGGTTCAGTGAATTATAATAGGATCATATTAGGATCCCAGGGTAATAAATCAGGCAGGCTCCCCACGCTTTCTTCTGTTCACTTAAGATGGAGCAACATCCTAGATTGAGGCTACAACTTTCTATTATAATATTACCTTCTTTAAAATGCAATGATTAAACCAATAGAGGCAAACAGGCAACATCTATAGCATTTACCACGGAAAATGGAAAATCAGGAAAGTGAGAATTTGTCAAGTGTCCTTCAATAATTTCAAAAGTAGGGACAAAAATTACAGTTTTTTATCCTCTTTTAATCAAAATTCTGTCATCAACCTCTAGGCTTATGGTGGTTTGTTTTCAGTTTTGGGGAGTTTTCTTGGTTTGGGGGTATTTTTTTTTTTGTTTGTTTATTTAGTTTGGTTTTTTCGTTGGGTTTGCTTTTTTTTTTCCTCCTTTTCCTTTGTCATGTCATTCCTAAAGAGCTCAAATTTCCCCCGAGGGCTTGTGGACGTCTGGTTTGACTTACCCAACACCCACTTCATGATGAGCAGTTCCGTCCAGGAGAATTGAGTTGTTTTGACTCTGAAGATCTGTTTGGGGTGATCCGTGATGGTCTCGTTGGGGAGATTTTTGACTCCCTCGAACCGATCGGACGCGTTCACCACCAACAGCCCCAGGAAGATTGTGAAAGAAACTGCGTGGGCCACAAACTTCATGAAGGGACTTCTGAGGGTCCGCCCCAGCTGCAGTGGAACACAAAAAACACAGAAGATTTTAACTTTTTTTTTTTTTTTTTTTTTTAATTTATCCACCTCCTGGAAGTTTTTTCCCTATAAAAATTTGAATATTATTCTATTCCTATATATGAACGTTTGGATTTTTTCCCATAAAAGTTCCCATGAAGTTGCAATGTCAAATGCTCTAAGAGAAAGTACTTTTCTTGGAGCTGTTTTGGAGGAGAGCAAAAATATGAACATTTGAATTTTTTTCCCACAAAAGTCTTTACGGTTTGCCCAAGGTGAAAAGGATTCAGAACTTAATTGTGGATCATTAAGTAAATAGGGTTTAGATTTGTTCCAGTTGTTGTTTGCTATTACTAGACATTATGCACTGGATAATTTTTTATCTTATATTGCTCCTTTAAACCCACATGTAACATCTAATTGTCCTGGCCATATGGAGGGTGGAAAATGAAGAGACAGGACATTTATATGAGAGACATGTTTGTTTGTATATGTGGGTATGAATGTCCTTATTTGTCACTATAAATCCTAGTGATGGACCCAATTCTCACCCTTAAATCACTGTTATATATTAGAATCTTTTATTAAGGGTGAATTCTTGTTTCATTATCAATGTGTAAGAAACAGCTTTCTGTTTAAATATTCTCTAGCAACGCTTTTAATACGCTTTGCTTTGATAATCTTCTCTCATAATTACTACAAAATCTGGGGAATCACTCCCAGAACACAAGGATTTATTTCAGGACATTAAGCCAAGAACCAGAGCAGCAGGTCTCTTCTCTACAGATAATATTTGGTCCATTTTTCTTGAGAGGCTTTCTTTGTCAATGAATTTAAATACCACTCTTTTAATTTTACATTTTCTGTGAACTTAAAAAAAAGCAGTACTCCCAAAAATGTCAGAGTGGAAGGATTTTTAGGAGCACTGGGACTGAAGCCTGTGGTGTTGGACACGACAGGGAGCAATGGAAGAGCTCTCCTGGATGGGCCCTTTGCAAACATCCCTCAAAGCAAATTCCCCTTGGTGGCAAGGTATCATCAAATTTTTCTTAATATCTACTGACTTAATCATAAAACTCCATAGGAAATGTGAAAAAGGACTGAAAAAGGAAATTCCTTGGGTTTTTATTTATCTCTAAGAGTAGATTAGTTCAAAGCAGCCCAGTTCTCTGGTCACTGAGGAACAGGAAATATTTTAAAAGTAGAGCTCTTGTCATTGTATTTTCAGGCAACAGACTGTACAATTTTCCTGTTGCAATCTTTTATCTCCTCTTTTGATCACCAGTGAAAAAGGTTTCGGAGACTAACATTTCATTTCAAGAGTCATGGCCTAAAAGAGGTGGATGAGTCAACCTGGATATTTCAGGACAGGACAGGCTTAAACTTCACAGCTCTTGTCAACAGTTTGTGCACCCAGAGGTGAATGAATGACTGACACTAAAACTGGTTTTAAAATAGACAGTTCTGTGCAACTGAATGCAAAAGAACACTTAAAGCTGAGTTGCAAACTCCAGTCAATACTGTTTACCAAGTTTTTGAGGGGGTTTGTTATGGTCCAGTCTAACCCCACAGAGCTTTATTCAAGAAAATTCTCTGCTAGGGAGGAGAGGTTTGAAAACAAGTTTCTTGCTAAGATACATGAGGGAAGGAATTATTTTGAGATATGAATTCCTCTGTTATTCTATGTGAAACTGCAGAATTTGATCATCTTAAGAATGTGACACACAGAAGTATTGGTCAGGACAGCTCCCATAAGCAGTATTCCTCATCGGAGATTTCCCTCATTTTTCTCACTGCCTTAGTCCAGAAATTAATCCCTGACTCATTCCTGGGCATCAGTGTGTCTTTTGAAACAGGCCTGATTTAGGTCAAATAACTGATTGTTACTATGGAAAAATTGTTTCATTACCCAGCTGTGTATCACAATTGTTTTCCTCACTTAAAACCAAGTAAAACACTTGTAAAGTTGACCAGGACAAAACTGGGCTGCTCAGAATCTCAAATCCTCTGCATCACACACAAATCATCTCTAACACCCCCATCCTTTTGGTGGATCTGCTGCCTTTGGGGAATTTTCTTCAGTTACACCTTGAGAGGATCCAAAGCTCACGGATCAACCCCCAGCCCTGGAACTTAATAATGATGATTTAGGGGGAGGTACCAGTTCGGGGGGGGGAAATGCATTTGTTATTCAGTTATTTCTCTCACTGAGAATCAAATCAATTCTCACTGAGAATCAAAAAATCAAGATTCCATTGTTCTGATCAAGGCAAATCTATGCATTGAAAGACAGTCCCTGCCTGAAAGAAATGTCAATTGGACTCTGTGCTAGAAGGTTACGTGTTGTTTTTCACAGTCTAAAGTGAGGTGAAAAGAAAGGAACACTGAAAATGAGAATGCATGAAAGGTTTAGTGTAATGAAATCAGTGCTGATGAGAAGTTAAATCCCCTCCCCTCCATTTTTAATTTCAACAAACCTACCTCAAGAAATTAAATACACATAACTTTCTCAGGAATTTCTTTTTTTTCTGTTGTATAACCATTTTATTTTTAAATTTTTTTAACCTCAGTTTATTTCTCCTTAGTTTTCACGCCTTTCATTTAAATTCTCCACTTATTTCTGGTCTAATTGTTCTTCCCACCTGTTGCTATATTCAAATGTCACCTCTGTAATTCTGAGAACGCACCACAAATGCTGCTGTTGGCTGGTTTGCCGACTCCCAGCACATTCAACAGAGGTGAAGGAAATAAAACAGCTTCTTCTTAAATCCCTGCTAGGCTGGGGTCTGCCATGAGTGAATCCACATGGTAATTCCACACATTAATTCCCTTTACAACCCAGCCCAAACCACCCTTAGCACGGCCCAGCTTGCACACAAACATCTCTTTGTGCAACTCTGGGGTCCTGTCTGTGATTCATGAAAGATGAGGGGCTTTGTGCTGGTACAAACCTTGAGGAGATGAAGTTGCAGTGCCAATTGCTCTAAGAGAAAGTACTTTTCTTGGAGCTATTTTGGAGGAGACCAAAAATTTTTATTATCTCGGACATCCTGAAAGACTGTTTTTCTGATTGTGCAAACATAAATCTTTTCAAATTATAGTTTTTCCTTAATAGTTGGTCATGGATCTATGATTTTTTGGGCTGGATAAATTAAGAAAGGATTCCTCACTGGTTTTTAGAGGAAAGGGGAGAAAATATTTTCAAGACTGAATATATTATCAGTGCCAGGGTCACTTTGATCAAATTTAAATACCTGTGATAAGCCTCCTGCAGAAGATGTCTACCTTGTAATGGATGATATTACTGGTTATTGCTGAATGTGAAATGATCTTTTTCTGTGGCAAGAGTAGTTTATTTATCACTCAGACATACACCTATTTATCTCCACTTGTTTGAGGAGACTCCTTCAGGATGGAAACCTCTACAAATTTCATTCCACACCACATAATCTTTATCTAAACTAAAGGTTGGCTCTGGTCCTTTGACCTCTGGGTCTCAAAAACCCTTCTGCTCCATCTGATCTGTATTTAGGTACACTGTAGTATTTCAAGTTTCATCATCTTTTCTCTCAAAAGCATCAGGGTTGTATGATTCAGTCTAATCTCTGCAACACTAAGAAGTTCCCTGGGGCTTGCCAGACTTTCAGGCCCAAGTGCCATAATAATGCTCCACTAACTAAAACCACAAGCTCAGAAAGGAGAAGGAAAGGGAAGAAAGGAGACCTGGAGAAGGGAGGAACCTGCAACAAAAAGTACCTACAAGTAACAAGAGTTTAAATACCACTAAAAGAGCAACGAGGATCTTCTCCTTTAGTTATTTCAAATTTTGGTGGCTTTTATCCTTTCTTCAGCCCACTCCTGTGTTGTTGCCTCCTATCCATTTCTTCCTGTTCTTTTCTTGTCACCCACTTCATTTCCCCACCATCCCACCTTTAAAAAGGATGCATCTCAAGCCATGCCTGTTAGTTCCAGGTGTGTTTGTCAAGCAACACCTCAGGCTTGCTCTCCCCTGGGCAACCCCAGAGGGTACCACGAATCACTTCCCAGCAACGTGATGGAAAAAAAATGTGACTTCATTCCACGCCCTGGATGAAATAAGCACCCCCTGCCCCTTGCTGAGGCTGTACCTTGCTGCAGGGAGCGATCCAGTAGGCTATGGCAAGGAAGGGCAGGCCAATGGAGACTCCAAAGACAGCCAAGAACTTCACAGCTATGGATTGCTGCCGTAGGCCTGAGAGGTTCTCGTACCACATGGTGAGCAGCTGCTGCTGGCAGTTGGGGTGAGCCACAAACTGAGAGAGAAACAGAAGTAAAGGTGTCAGTAGCATTGCCTGAGGAGGAAGAGATTTCAGGGAATACCCTGATGAACTTGCCCACAGGACAAGGCAGGGCATGTCTTTATTGTCCAACACAGCTCAGGGTGTCACAAGCAGAGAACTGCAAACCAGGCACCCAAAATCCCCAGGTACTGGCAGAACGTGTTCCACTTGTCCTCCTCGTCTTCTCTAGAGAAAAAGTATTTTTTTCATGATTAAAAAGCACAATGTCTGGGCTAAAACACAAAATCTGTTGGTGGAGAGCACTGACAAATTGCCTCTGAGCAAGTTACTTCTTGGGGTAATACAGTCTACATTGAGATTCAGAAAAGAAACAGAGGAGCTCTGATTTCAAGTTGAAAAAAAACCCTGTGGTGACCTGCTAAAGACTTAGACCGTTGGCATAGTAGGTTTACACAGCACTAATATTATATTGTTGTATTCACTGCATGAAGACCAAAAGTGAACCATCCTGCAGGGTTCTCCTGTAAATTATGAGAGACCTGACCAGTATTTTACTACTTTAAATGCTTCATCTCAGAGTACCTTTCAAAAAACGACAGCTCCTTCTTTGTTGATCAGACAAAAAGACAAATCTAACAGCAGGAGGGAAAAAACTGTGGTGCTCTGGTACAGAAAGTACATGTTTTGTATCCTGGAACTGAGACTGCTCCTCAGTTTATTGTTCAGAGGTAAAAGACAAGGCAGCAGCAGACAAGGGAAAAGGGCAATTTCTTAACAGCAAAATTACAGCAACACCAGATCCCACGTAAGAGTTTTATAATAAAAGATTAAACTATTTTATGTTATCCTTCAAGGTGATTGAATTTAGAATGTGACTATCCTTAATCACAAGGAAAGGTAATTAAAAGGCAAAACAACTGAAAGAAAAGATGAAAAATAAATATGTTGCTAATGCAGATAATTGCACTGGCAGAACCGAGGGTTTCATTTATTAGTTCAGTGGCTGAACAAATGTTCCTGGGAGGGAAACGTAAAATTTTCCACTGTTTCAAGGAGCAGAACTTTCTGGAGGTGAAGGGGAGGATGAAGGGGGTCAAGAGAGAAAGAGAGGAGGAAGGAAGAGGTTACTGAAGGCTTGGTGACCAACCTTGCCCTGTGTCAGCCCTTTGAGCTTCACCCAGCTGGGAGATTTCAGCTGCCTCCTGTAGTTTTATTGTAACTGAAAAGTAGAGAAAATTCTAACTCTGCTTTCATCTTCACTATCTGTGAACTTAATGGACTCTTTTTGATGTGTTTGCATAAGAACAAAACTGTTAAATGCGAGTTTAAATGATCAGTTCCTCGGTGCAGAATGAAATACAGTTGCACAGTAATTAGGATTGCTGTGCAGTAGCACTTTTCCTTCATTAATAGCACATTAGCAGCTATTTAAAATGTGCTTCTTCTGATGAATTGGGCTTTGGGGTCTACATTTCTCAAAAAGAGAAATAAAAAAAAGCCTATAAGACTTATTCAGTGGTAAAGTCAACCAGAACCAAGACATTTGACAGGTACTTTTGACCTCCTTTGTCTTTGGATTTCCCCCCCCCCCCCCCATTTTAATGTGCTTTCTTTTAAGCTGCTTTCAAAAATAAGAAAACTGTCAAAAAAAGGTAATTATAAATAATGAGTTGTAGTCCTTCTGAGCATTTAAAGTTTCCTGTGGAGGTGATGACAGCAGTACCACAAGGAGGCATTTCCTAATGTCCAGTGTTTGTGCTAAGGCTGCTTGGGCTCTTTATCTTCCTGGGTAATGGACAGAAGGACCAAGTGGAAGAAAATTCAACAGAGAATTTATCCTTTCCGTAGATTTTATTTTCAGATGTGATGAATACAAAAACAATTGTAGCAACTCATGGAAAGGAGAATTACACCAGTAATTGTGCAGACTTCTGAGATGAAGGGCCCAAGAAACATCCAGGCTTCCTCCTCTTACAACTGTTCATTGCGTTATGAGAATTGTTTCAGACAAAGGAGCTCAGTTGTCCTTGGCAATGAGACAGTCAAAGACTTCGGCTGGTTTGGCATTTCAGAGAATTCATCAGACATTTTAATCTGTTCATTTTTTTCCCTTTGTCTGGGAACAGCTACAATGAAAATACAAATACAGGAAAATTGAGAAGGAATCGCCATAAAACGCAGTTCAGTGGAACAATTTATTTTGTGCGAGGCAATAAAGACGGGCAGCAGGCCATGGAGCCTTGATGGTGTTCATCTCCCTCTGATTATCACAAAAACCAGGGGAAAAGAAGATAAGGAAGATCAGAGCACGGATGAGTTTTGATCTGCTGTTTGCTTACAGCAAACAGGGCAGTTTTTCATTATGTTTGCTCTCTCAGATGTTAATGAAACACGCAGTGACCCCTGGCCACTGCCACCCCATCAACAGCTCAGACACTGATCTTAGATCTCCTCAGAGATGTTACAGAGCCATTTGACTTCCTCTCTTCTGGAGAGGAGCAGAGCTGGAGACAAAAAGTTTCGAGGAAGAATCCTTCAATAGGTGATGAAAAATGGGGGAGGGGGGGAGTGATATTGAATTTCAGAGGGCTGAACACTGTGGTGCTTTTTCAGTGTTCCCATTAAACGCTCTTTTCTTTTCTTCAGGACTGGAAAATGAGGCTGGGAGGCTTTTAGGGACAAACTGTGGATGCTCCTGTGCTGCATCCCAGAAGATGAGAGAGGCAGAAAGTGTTGTAGCAAGAGTGGTGTGAGCAGGGCTGTGCAGAAGGGCAAGATGTCTCTGATTGAAATGGAAGCCCTGGCAGGGAGGGCATTTTCTGGCTCCAAAACCAGCCTTTTAAAAGCCTTAAGTGCTTTATCTCACGGGCAGAGCCAGTCCCCTCCAAGCTGATAAAGGTAATGCATCAGGAGCTGGGAGCTCAAGTAAAATGTTTTCCAGTGCTTCTGCATTCAGAAACCACAGTGGGAGCTGTTCTGGTCCCACAGCACTGAGACCTCAATGGCACTGGTTTTTCCTTATACCTCTGGTTTAGGAAGGAAATTGTGCTTCCCTCCAGCCTATCAGTCACACAGCTTTTTAAGTTTAAAAAAAAAGCTAAAGAAAAAAATATGATAAAATCACACATCAGTCTGAAGAGCCAGCCCTAATAATGAAGCTGCCAAAGCAGCATTTTTGAGAGGCACTGAAACACTCAGGAAAGACACCTCCAAAAGCCCCTGTCCTGTGCCACGGGGAATTAAATGATAGAGATGAATATTTTTTCTGTCATATGGAAAAAAAGTCTCTAAAAGCCTTCAGTGGGAATTGAAAGGGCCCAAAGGAACTGTTTTACACAGAGAAACAGTGTTTGAGGCCGCTGTGGATACCACGTTGAGCAATAACTTTTCCATGTTGCCATCTAATTTGATGTATGACAGCTCTTTCTGGTAACTCAGCATGTATATGCATTGTGGGAAAGCACTTCACAGTTCTCATTTTTTCCTTAACATACTTGTTCAAAAGTGCAGGAGTTTCACTACACAGATGATAAAGTACCTCTGTATCTCGATAAATACATGGGAAGTTACTTCTGATAGAAAACACTGTGATAGAGAGACTTTTATTTTCTATTTTCTATTATATTGAACAGAGAAAGAGCCTGTGATGAGGAACCTGGTCATTTCTGCTGTTCAGTAGCAGCCTAAGTTGCCAGTGGTTGGGCACTGTTTGAACACCCAGTCCTAAACCCCTCATGGTCCTTGTCTTAAGGGCATCTCTCCTATCTTGTGGCACACAGCAGATAAACCACAGCCAGGTGACAAAAAAACCCCAGGAAATTCTCGAGTGTCAGGCAATGTTCACACATCAAACAGGAAAAAAAGGGGGGAAAAAGAGAAAAATAAGATGGAAAAGGAGAGGACAGAGAGGACAGAGAGGACAGAGAGGACAGAGAGGACAGAGAGGACAGAGAGGACAGAGAGGACAGAGAGGACAGAGAGGACAGAGAGGAATCTCTATCTTGAACAGAAAAATGGTGTCAGCAAAAATAAGGAAACTTATGGCAAGACAGGCAAAAGACAGAGGTCAGCCTCTGATGTTTGGAATTAATCATGCAAAAAGAAATCAGAATTATTGAAATAATTCTAATTCCCTTAAAAAGGGCAGAAATCTCCCACTGAGGCAAAAGAATGAGCCACTCTGACAGGATCATCTCACTCTGCTAATGCAGCTACCCTGCATAGCCAGGGGCTGAGGTAAGAAGGAAAAACTCATCAGGGAAGCAGTGAAAGCAGTTTAAAAACCTGCATGTCAGATCTAACAAAGCAGAGCTGTGACTGGAACATCCTGAGGTGCTCCTGTCGTGTCCTCTGAGCTTGTCCCTTCCCTGTCAGCCTTGTGGCAAATCTCAGTGTGTTTAATCACTGAGGGAGAGCTAAAAAGGAGCTGCATAAATAGACTCTCAGGAGAACATTGGTGATGTCAGGAGACACTGGCAGGGGCAGGGATGAGCCATTTCTCTTCCCATCATGTAGCTGCATTCGTGTCCTTCCAACAACCTTCCTGGGTTCATTATTAAACATTTATCTTTTGATGTAGCTCATCAGTTCTGCAAGCCTACAGTGAGAGACGTATTTTAGGCTGCAGCACCTGCTCACATGGACCCTGGGTTGGGTGTGTAATGTTGCAAATGCTGGAGAACAGAGTTAAAAGCTGAAACACTTTGGGTGACTCACTGGAGTAACCTTGTGCCTTTGAATAACAGGTAAAAATGAAGGGGGCAGCAAGTGGATTGTACTCATGGCTTTTTCAATTTTGCCACAGCAGGAGGGTTGGAACTGGATGATCTTCAAGGTCCCTTCCAAGCCAAACCATTCTAGGATTCTGTGTTGGCAGGAGCAGAGGAGCAGTGGGAAAAACCGAGGGGTATCTGAACCACACACATTGTGTGCTCTGCAAAGATGAAAGTACAGGGGTGTCATCATGAAGATTTCCAGGCAAACACAGCCTGAGCTGAGCTTGCCAGGCTTGT